GAGGTGGAGCTCACTCGGTAGCTGTAGGTTTGGTTTAGGAAAATGTGAATATTTTTCTGCAGCAAAGACTGATGCAAACATGGATTTTAAAAAGGTTTCCTGAGAACAGGGTCAGGTTACGAGGTAAGGTCCGTGGGGTGCAAACAAGGATGACGCCTCTCTTCCACAAGAACAACGTGCTGCCTCAAGGTGGAAGCTGGGGATGGCCAGGGCCCGCTTTCGGCTGAGACCTGCCCCCAGCAGGGGACAGCTGCTACGCCAGGGCCTGCTCTTGCAGGGGTGATGTGGGGTGTCTTTTTTCCCCAGGGAAGAAAGCAACAGAAACAGACATCTTTGCTGTGTGCTGCCTGACCACTGGAGGCAGGCTGCATGGACCCTGTGCTAGAACTGCCACCCAAACCCAGGAAGATCCCTCACGCCGGAAACGCGGCCCGGTAAGAGAGCAGTGATGCACCTGCACTGGGCGACTGGGCCCGTGATGGTGACGACGCACCCGCCTTCACCGGCACTCTCATGCAGGACGTCTATGCCTGCTGTGAGGACAGTTCCCATGCCCACCCATGTTCCTCGGGGGCCCCTTGTATGAGGCTTCTGTGAATCTTGGGGGCCAGAGTTGGCTCACCCACCCCGGTGCCTCTGCCTTGGCAGAAGGCCAAAGCACAGCAAGCATTAAAGGAACAGTGAAAACACCCCATGGGAAGCCATTTCAAGACAGCCTCTCCTCGCTAAATTAAAATTTTTGACCGGTAGTTTGTCTGTTGGAAGAATAAAATGTAAAGCCCACTAAACGACTTACTAGCAAGCTAACGGTGGGCGAAGTGATGAGAACAAACCCTCCCGCCCCCAGCAGGCCCCTCCTGGCCGCTGCCGCTAGAGGCCAGTACACACACAGCCCCCACGCCCTGGACGCACACTTTGGAGCCCAGCGTGGTCTTGGCCGTCTGGATGAGGGGTTCTGTGTTTGCCACGTCCACAAGGACGCTGTCGCTGATCTGGTCCAGGTGCTCAATGGCAATGCGGGCGGCCTGCTCGTAGCCGTCGGCGATCCTCATGGGGTGGATGCCCCGGTCCAGCAGCTGCTCCGCCTCCTCCAGCAGGGCCCCGGCCAGCACTGCAAAGAGCCAGCAAGGGACACTTCACTTCAACGGAAACCAACACGAGCCACACTGCTGGCCTGGGCACAGGAGGGCTCCCGACACCTTAGACAAGCGTCTCCAAAACCCATGGGCCGAGCGAGTGTCGAGAGGTACCCCAGCAGCAAAGCCTGCCATCCGCTCCTGAGCGGCCCGGCCCTGAACGCCCCGTGGGGCTCAGCTCCCATCTGCACACAGGGTTGCCCTGAGTCAGAACCGACTGGACGGCAGCCAGCACCTACACCGACAGAGGCCCGACTCTCGGTCAAGGAAAGAATGTACCGCACACAGAGGCGGCTGTGGTGCGGACGGTCAGCCTGCAGCTGGCAGCACGAGGCTGGTCCCACCCGGGCCAGCGCAGAAGCAGCAGACCCGGTGACCCTTCCGTGAACATCGCAGCTGAGAACGCCTGGGGAGCAGCTGTGCTCTGTCACACACAGGGTCTCCTAGGCCACGGGGGAACGACAAGCAAAGCATGAAAAGGACAGAAAAGCACGTGCTTGTTTCGGAGGCCCAGACCTCTCTCGTGACCTTCACCCTAACAGTGTTGAGTGCCCTCCACCATGTGGCAACCCAAGCATCAGCGCAGAACGGCCTCGTGGGTTTTTTGGCTGTCAATGTAAGCCAGGCCTTTTCTTCCACATTATGGCCAGTGGGCTTGAACCACCAACCTCTAGGCCAACAGATTGGCATGACTGTTTGTGCCAAGAAGGAACCTTACCCTGCTAAGAGGATTTCCCCACCAACAGCCACCCCGTCCCTCATCTCAGAGCCACCAAGGTGGGGGTCATATGCGTCTTCTACATGGTGGCACCCACAGCACAGATACAACAGAGACCCCTAAGTCTGTGGAATAAATGAACTCAAACTTCGTCTGCAGACAAGGGAAACTGTTATCTCTGTAAGTCCCCAGATTTTTATCTTGAAACCTGTCAAACCTTCGAAACGCCAACAGTAAAACGAACACCAGCTCTAGCGCTGTCAGAGGCTGTCGCCTTGGCCGATTCCACTTGCTTCAACTTTCTCCACACGCTCCACCTGCAATCTGGGGATTAGTTTCCACACACTCTCCCTGCCATGTGAGGATTAGTTGCAGAAATCATGACAGGTCACCCCCAAACATTTTTCACTCCTACTCCTAAACACAAAGGCATTCTCCCAACAGGCACGTGGCCATCACGCTCGAGAAGACAGTACTGTTATGTAAGGGACTCTCATAACCAGATCCCCCCTTGTCCCCACTGTCCTTACAGCCTCTCACACCGCCCAGCATCCAAGCCAGTGTCACCTATCACAGCTCGTGGTCACTTCCCTTTAATCCGGAATGGTCCCTATCCCAGCCACTTATCTTCCAACATATCCCTCAACCTGGATCCGTCTCATGTCTCGTGATTCAGTTCAGGGAAACTCTTGGCAGGGGCGTTACCCTAGATTTTAAAGCGCGCCTCAGCGTAACCAAAGGTGATCTCGTCTTTTCGTACCGACCACTCCTGTGGTTCCGTCTCCAATCTCGTCATCCTGTGACTTGGAGAGCTCCACCATCAGCTTGGCAATCTGGTGGTCGACATCCATCATGGTCAGAATGGTGGCCCCATCGTTAGTGACTGTCACGTCACCATCTTTGTCTACCATCATCTTGTCAAGCCCTGAAAACCAATGGTTAGTGTGCCTTTAGGGAAGGCAAAGAAAAAAAGGCAACACCTCTCAAGAGCTAGCAAAAGCTGAGATCTGACTCAGTTCCTACTTAAGGCGTTTTCTGTAGGCAAACACTTGACTATGCATCAAGGGATAGCTCCAAGAAGGTGCTTCTCAGGCCAGTTACTATATATTACAAATGACCAAAATGTCCAACAACACTGAAGTGGCAAAAAAACCACAAGGCATCACTAAATGTAGCATATTAGGCACCAAAGGTGGTGGCTGTGTCTGGATGCCCATGAAGTGATGATAACCATAAAGACGTTATGATTCTAACTGCAGAGGCCATGCTAGAGTGGCAGGGCAGCCCCAACTTCCTGCAGTGGGGGCACCGCCTCTCTATCAAAACTGCCAAGTGCCAGGACCTTACCGTTTGGTCCAAGCGATGTTCTCATCGTGTTGGCCACAGCCTTTGCTGCCATTATGTGTGACTAAGAGAAACAAACAGGAAAACTTAGTTACACTTAACTTCAACACCTGACGGTTATAAAAAATCAGGACATAATTTCTGTTCTCTAGAAGCATCTACATTTAAGCAACAACCCAACCCAACTCACTGCTGCCTAGTGGAGCCCAACTCAGTTTCCTCTACTGCCATCTTTACAGGGCAGAGGGCCAAGTCTTTTTTCCCAGGGAGCAATAGGCGGGTTTGAACCATCGGCCTTTTGGTTAGCAGCTGTGTACTCAGTATCACACCCCCAGAACGCCCTCTTAACCCAAACCCAGAGCCACTGCCATTGAGTCTGACTCACAGCGACCCTGTAGGACAGAGTAGAACTGCCCCATCTTTCTCCTGTGCAGGAGCTGATGGATTTGAACCACTAACCTTTTGGTTAACAGCTAGATACTTTAACCACTGCACCACCAAAGTTCCCTTCCAGGGCAGCCAAAACAAAAAACCAAACTCACTGTCGTCAAGTTGGATCCGACTCACAGCGACCCCTCCTTGAGTTTCTGAGGCAGTATCACTATGGAAGTAGACTGCCCAACCTTCCTTCTGAAGAGTGGCTGGTGAGTTTGAACTGCCAGCCTTCTGGTTAGCAGTCAAATGCCTTAGGCACTATGCCACCAGGGCTCCCCAACAGGTCCAAATTGAAGTGTAAGAATGACATTCATAGCTACTAGTGCCAGGAGACTACTCTTATGGAGAAATGGAAGCCAGCCTCTGTGTTCTCATTAGCTGTGGACAGTGGGGTTCTCCCATCAGCACCCACTTCACTGGCAAGGACATGACAGCCCCCAGAAAGCCCTTTCAAGACCACTGCATCTGGAAGGGTCCCACCTAAACACATACCTCTGTCACTGGTGGTTTACAGCACACCTGTTTTTCCTTCAAATGGCGGAGCCAACCCAGAACTCCTGCTGGTCAGTTTTCACCTGGCTTACGAAGGAGTTCCCAGATACATTAAGATATACACCGCCAGGACACTGGGCTCTCAACCTTTCACTTCCCTACCTGCCTGAAAAATTTTGCAGTACCTGAGATTCCAGTAACTTGAGATCAAACATACGATCCCTCCGTCCCCCGAAGTGTCTGAATTGGGGGTTAAGGAGTTGCACAGCTACTAGAATCAGTTACATGGCATTCTTCCCTCACATCTAGTTACCAAACTGAGCAACAGACATAATTTTACTCAGAGGGAAAAGGAGGCAGGGAATTTGGCAAACAGGATGATGACAACAGACAGCGCATCCAGGCAAAGGTGCCCTCGTGGTGCAGTGCTTAAAGCGCTCGATCGCTAATCAAAACGGCACTCTGAACCCACCAGCTGCTCTGCAGGAAAAAAGTGGCAGCCTGTGCCAATAAAGTCTGACAGCCTTGGAATCCCTCTGGGGCAGTTCCACTCTGTCCTCTAGGGGCGCTGTGGGTCAGCACGGACTCCAGGCAGTGGGTGTGGTTTGCACTTTGCTTCAGTGAAGATTGACAGCCTTGGAGACCCTGCGGGCAGTTCCACTCTGTCCTCTGGGCGCCCTGTGGGTCAGAATGGACTCCAGGCACTGGGTGTGGTTTGTGCTTTGCTTCTGTGAAGACTGACAGCCTTGGAGACCCTGTGGGCAGTTCCACTCTGTCCTCTAGAGGCCTGTGAGTCGGAATGGACTCCGATGCAGCGGGTTTGGTTTTGCTGCACTGAACATGTTTCTCTCCCTTCTCCCACTTGTTTCCCCGAGAAGATTCCACACTCCAGACTCCCAGACTCAGTTACATCATGACAATCAGGACTGTGTGCTGGCTCGGGTACTGAATCCACTTTCACTGGTTGAGTTACATCCCCTTAAGCAAACCCACCAGCCACTCCTGGAAAGGAAGGC